CTTCAAAGTCTGAATAAGCTCTTGTTAGGTTCTCAATCAGCCAGGTCATGCTAACCTGCAAAAGTTGAATGGAGGCGACTGACTGCTCTTCTAAAAGAGCCGAATTGCCGGCAGTCAACTTTTCAACCACTGAAGAGTTCAGTTAAAAAAAAAAAATCTTAAAAAGTTAGATCCTCAGTCACGCACGAAGAGGCCAGTTGTGTCCATTCACATTTATCAGCTATTGAAGGGTTCAGTTCTCAAAATGTAGAATTCAACGGATCATTTCTGCTTTAATTAAGTCATTTGTTCCTGCCTTGTTTTTTTTTTTCTGTTTGTTTTTTTGTTTTGTTTTTTTTTAGCCCAGTTACTGTGCAGCGTGCGGCTTACTCTCTGGTCTCCAGGGTGACGATGATGAGAATGGGTCGCCGGTTCATGCCGCCAACGCAGCTGGAGTTGCACATGAAGTTGTACAAGATGGTGGTGAATTCCGTGCCCACCTGATGGGAAACGGCAAGTGAGGTCATTATTTTATTTATTTTTTTTACCCCCTCTCCACTGCAAATTAGCTTTTGTAGTGCTGGCCACACTGCCTGTAAACGCCATCTGCAGGGGTTTTAATCATGGTTTGTTGACAGTGCAGAGATGGAATGGCGAGATAACAAAGTTGACCAGACAAATTTTTTCTTCTGAGTTAATATCAGAATACCCTTTCAGAAAATATCAGCACTTTTACATCCATTTTTCAGTTTCTGGGGTAGACATGGCGGGGACAAAGTTGAGTTTGAAATGTTGCCATCCGTGAAGGAAGTATATAAAGCCTCCTTCGATCATGGTTTGTTGACAGTGCAGAGATGGAATGGCGGGATAACAAAGTTGACCAGACAATTTTTTTTGCCTTCTGAGTTAATATCAGAATACCCTTTCACACTTGTGGTATTTCTTCACCGTGTGTCGATCGACAGCACAAAGGCAGTACATCGTCATCTTGGAAACTTTCCGCATTCTGAGGTAGTATCAAAAACTTTTTTTTTTTTCACTCTGTCAGAAAATATCAGCACTTTTACATCCATTTTTCAGTTTCTGGGGTACTCATGGCGGGGACAAAGTTCAGTGTGAAATCCGTGGAGGAAGTATATAAAGCCTCCTTCACATCGCCTGTCAAATGCAGCATTTTTCGACCATTTTAAGCAATGCCAAGATTGAATAAATTGACCCGGTCAATTTTTCATCTGGCAGCAGTATCATAAGCTCCTCGTCTGGATTCTCACCTGAGGCGGCTCGTAGGGCACCAGCACGCTCTGCCTCCCGGTGATGGAATCCTCCACGTACTGGGCGTGGCTATTACCCTCCACGCGGATCAGGTGACTCGGAGGTGCAATCTGACCTGGTGCGGGATTACAGTGGCGGTCAATACGCGATGACGAATCGAAACAGTCAATCGAACCAAATCAAGTCAACCGACCGTCGTTGAACTCGCGGCTGAGCTCGTGGTTGGGGCATCGCTTTACCACCTCGGTCACGTGTTCCGCCTTCTTGTAGACGGGCATGGCGCGGATGACGGCGCCTTGCGGTGGGGTGGTCAGAACTTTGATCTGGATGGGACACGTCTTGGCGATCTGGCAGTACAGTTTCTTCAGTTCCGTGGAGTACTGTGAACGGAGAACGCACAAGAGCACACAATGAAGCAGAATAGAAAATCGAGACAGAAATGTTCGGCCTTTGGAGGTAGTATGAGAAAGTCTTGTCATGCCGGGTGGTGAAAAGCCGGCATGGTGTGTCTTTTAATTTTTCTGTCACTGTTCTGTATGTACAGCATCGCCATGGAATAGCGGCACATAGTGATTTCTGGAATGATCCGCTTTTCGAGGTAGTCACAGAAGCCTGTTTCACACCACCGGTCTTTTCTGTGTTGTTGCCCTTGATAAAAATACGGACACAGAACAGGCGGGGGTTCAATTCGACCCGGGCAGGACTAGAAACGTTCACTCTGCCCGTAAAAAGCCGACGTTTTTGGCTTTTCTCGTTACACTTCTGTATAACTGGCGCAGATATGGAACGGGAAAGAGAGTCAACCTGGCAATATTCCGCCTGGAGGGGTAGTATCGTTATTGTAAGTGCTGTGGCTCCTTTCCTGTGTCGCTGTGAATGATAGAAATGACACAAGGAATGGTGGGAACATGGTGTGTCTTTTAATTTTTCTGTCACTGTTCTGTATGTACAGCATCGCCATGGAATAGCGGCACATAGTCATCCTTGGAATGACCGATCCACTTTTTGAGGTAGTAACAGAAGCCTGTTTCACACCACCGGTCTTTCCTGTGTTGTTGCCCTTGATAAAAATACGGGCAGGACCAGAAATGTTCACGCTGCCCGTAAAAAGCCGACGTTTTTGGCTTTTCTCGTTACACTTCTGTATAACTGGCGCAGATATGGAACGGGAAAGAGAGTCAACCTGGCAATATTCCGCCTGGAGGGGTAGTATCGTTATTGTAAGTGCTGTGGCTCCTTTCCTGTGTCGCTGTGAATGATAGAAATGGACTTGACAACTTTCCACCTTCAGAGGTAGTATTGGAAGCTCTTTTCACAGTGCCTGAAAAATATGGACCATTTATTTGTTTATTTTCGTGTGTGGCTGTTCTGTATAAATTCCTTGACAAGTGGACCTGGCAATTTTCCGCCTTTGGAGGCAGTATCAGAGGAGCCTTTCCAACTGCCTGTAAAAGGTGTTTTTTTTTTTTTTTGTTGTTGTTGTTGTTTTGGCGGGAATGAAGTCGACCCAGCAATTTTCCACCTTTCGAGGTTGTATCAGAAGCTATGACAAAGAACGAATGTCCGCGCCTAAGGGAAAAGGCCTAGCCTCTGGTTGCGAACCTTTCTTTTGAACAAGATCTCGGGGTGAAAGAAGGTTGCAATAAAAAGCTCTCGTGACCACTTACGAGCGCGCAAAATCCACAACGGCGGGCCGAATCGAAGAGACGGATGGACGGGGGGTAACACCTGTTAACTGGACCAACCCAACCCTGTCTTGTTTTGCCCTTTGGCAAAAAGGGAGGTTAAATAACGAGGAAAGTGATTAGCAGCCACTTGAATCCGCACGCACACACATTTTGGGGCGCCCTCGAAGATGTCTGATGGAAAGCCTTGTGGTACTTCCGAGCGGCTCCATAAAAACGAAGCCTGCAGCCGCAATTAAAGCAGGCCCGGCTTTCATCTTTTGGAAAGGCTAAAGGGGGTTTGGGGGGGGGGGGGGGGGGGGGGGGGGGGGCTTTCGTTAGCCAGGCTACGCTAGCACTCCGGCGCCATCCTTCTGGCTTCCCCGTCCAGCTCTTCCTTCCATTTTCCCTTCTATCCATCCTTCCTCATTTCTTCCCGGAAATGAATGTCAAGTCTTTTCTACCCTTCCCTCGTCCATTCTTCCTTCCCATTTTTAACCCTTCCATGCACGCTGTAACCTAATAACGCGATAAATCTGTCCTCTGCAGTAGCCGCCGTCCCTGAATGAGTCTAAAAAGTGTATACAGTACCGACAGTGCTTTGTTCTTCCTTCCTTCCTTTCATACGTCCTCATAGCTTGCCATCATTCCTTCCTTTCAACCTTCCTTCTTCCATTCTCGTAGAATAAATTCAAGTCTGTGCCTATTTTCGGCCAACGCAGTAGATTCATCGCCCATCGTACCTTCTGAGAGCCACTTCCCGGTGTACTGCTCATTAATTGCTCATGAACAACAATTACAATAACAATAATCATAAGATGGCTGCAATTGGCTCTATACGAAAGTTCATCGGTTGTCTCTCCTTGCTTTCACTCTTCCTTCCTCCCTGCCTTACATCGACCGGCAACCAATCCATCCGAAAGTGTAACGAAAAAAAAAAAACAACAGGCGCTGGCAAAGACGGATGGCTGCACTCGAACCCGACACTCCCCCCCGCACGCCACCGTCACTCTGCTAAATGAGGCGGAAAAGCTTCAGATTCGGTGGGGAAACCAAGCTGAATATGACGGCACAAAAGAGACCGGGGCAACGGTGTCCAATCCTCCTTTTTCGAGGGGGCCTCACAAGCCTTTTACATGGCGTAGTTGTGTGAGGTGGCAGCTACACTTTTTCAAGCTTCTTCTTTTCCCCCCCCAGTATCGTTTCTCTGTATTTTAAAGTTGAGTATTTTTCAGGAGAGGAAAAAAAAGCATTAAAACATTGACAGAAATGTAGAAAACAGAAATCACGGATGAGGTAATGCAGGAATTTTGGGGGATTTATTTTTCTTTATGCATATTAAGAAATATGCACAATGAAAAATACATTTAAATTATTGAACATGATTTAAACCAAGGCTATCCACACTGGGTTTTGAGTCATTTTTGTGCCTGCGGCAGGTTTTACGGGTTCAAACGCAACATTGCGCCAATACCTTTTTGATTTTGAACAATTAAAAATGTTTAAACTCCACATCTAAATCCCAGTTAAGGTACTGAATCTGTCTTTTTTTATTTTATTATTTTTTTATTTAAGGTTTGGCAGGGATGGTCTTCTTATGCATGGTGTTTAGAATAATTACAGGCTGCGGCTTTTTGTGGCGCTGCAGGCTAAAAACAAAAGACGCAAAAACACACACAACGCGGGCCGAGGAGAAAAGATCTAATCTTTCTGATAGTTTGTTTAGATGATATCAACCTATCCCAGGCTGGCTCGCACCCACCCAGGCGAAGTGCGAGGAGAACACGACGCAACCACCATCCCTGCCCTCCAGCTACAAACTTTTCAGCACAAATATGCGCTCGTTTGCTCAGCGCTAACAGCTAACGCTAACCGGGTTGAAAGATGGGATTCAGGAGCGGGGGGCAGCGGGGTGTGAGACTCCACACGCGCCAGATGTGTACACACACACACACACACACACACACACACACACACACACACACACACACACACACACACACACACACACACACACACACACACACACACACACACACAGTGCAACCTCATCCGATGTACGGGCTAAACTTTTAGCTCTCGACACCTTTTGATGAACTTTTCTAAAGGAAGCGAAGCAGAGCGAAAAGAAGAAGACAAGAAGATGGAAGGCATCGAGGATGTATGAAAGTTGGATAGAAGAAGGGAAGGGCGGAAAGAATGCTGGTAGGTAGGAAAGAAGGATAAAAGGAAGGAAGAGTGGGAGGATGGAAGGAAAGAAGGAAGAATGGGAGGTTGGAAAGAAGGGCAGAAAAAAGATACATTAAAGGAAGAAACAATGAAAGTGAGATGGAAAGAAGGAAGGTTGGGAGGATGGAGGGAAGAGTGGAAGGTTGGAAAGAAGGGAAGCGGTAAGGAAGGCCATAAGTAAAGACGGAAGGCATCAAGGATGTCTGAAAAGTTGGATAGAAGGATGCAAGGAAGGGAAGAGCCCTGGAAGTTAAGAAAGAAGGATGAAGGAAGAAAAGCGAGGGAAGGATGGATGGTAGGGAGTATGGAAGGAAGAGTGGAAGGTTGGCAAGAAAGGAAGAAGAAAATGAAGGAAAA